TTTGGGTTCCTCTTGATTGGGACCTTCTCTGTTTCCTGGACTTGTGTGGCTCTTTCTCTCATCAAATTAGGGAAGTTTTCCATCATTACTTTTACAAACAGGCTTTCTATTCCTTGCTCCTCTTCACCTTCTGGTATTTCTATTATGTGGATATCATGTTTCATGTTGTCCTTCATTTCCTTTTACCTTCTTAATTCTTTTTGAGTGTTTTTTCTTTTTCTCTTTTTGGGACTTTTTTTCGTGCCTTTCCCTTCACCTCACTGATTCTGTCCTCCGCTTCATGTAGTCTGCTTTTGATTACTTCTACTGGGTTGTTCAATTCATAAACTGTATTCTTCATTTCCTCTTGGCCCTTATTGATTGTTTCTATGTTCTTTTTCATGTTGATATAGTTTGCAGTGAGTTCATTGTAGTTCCCCGGTAGTTTTTGGTAATTCTCTGTGAGCTCATTGAGCTTCCTGATAACCATTTCTTTAAACTCAGTATCAGATAGTTGACTTGCCTCTATTTCATTTAGCATTCTTTCTGAGGATTTCTCCTCTCCTTTTGATTGGAGGTTGTGTATTTGTTTTTCCATTTTTTTGTGAGACCCTTCTTGTATGCTTCTGCTTCTTAAATTCATCTTCTTTGACTTCCTGACTTTCTGGTGTCCACTTCCATGGTAGGAGGCCTCCGAGATTCACTGGTGCAGTCTCCTTGATCACCTAAACTTGACGGCCATGGGATGATGCTGTTTATGCCATCTATACTAATTCTCTGTATGTAATTGGATTTTGATTGTTGTTGGGTCTTTCTTTGGTGGGTCCTTCCCTCCACCTGAGGGTTACTCCATCCACAATGTCTTGTGTGCTCTTGTGCAGGTGCTGCCAGAACAAAACCACAAACCCCAGGAAACAAACCCACACCTGCAAAAATAACACCCCCCCACAATACTACTATAAACAGCAAATGAACCAGTATTAAAAAGAGCATAAAGAGATTAAAACTGTTATAAGAAAGCAAACTAAGAGGACAGGTAGATCAGGAGCAGAATCATAGAAATGAAGATCACATGGAGGGTTAGCAACAGGGGAGTGGGAGAAGGAGAAGGGGGAGAAGGTACAGAAAATAAGTAGCATAGATGGTAGGTAGAAAATAGGGGGAGGGCAAGAATAGTATGGGAAATATAGAATCTAAAGAACTCAAGACACTTGGTCATAAACTAAAGTGGGGGAAATGGTGGGGGAAGGGTGTGCAGGGTGGAGGGGAATGAAGGGGGGAATAGAACAACTGTAATGGCGTAATTAATAAAATATATATATTTAAAAAGCAGTTGGGTAATGGGAAAAAAAGAAAGGAGAGCAGGTATAAGGTTACCTACTGAAACAAAAATGATTTTGAGAGTATATAGGGAGGAGCACTAATAAGATTTGGGAGTTGGAGCAATGGCAACAGAGAATGTACAATTTACATTATGAATAAAAAAGGGAATGAAGAATGTGAAATGGAGTGTGAGAAGTGAAGCATATAGCACTAGTTGGAAACAGAAATTAAAATAATATAAAATAAAATAAAGTAAGAGAGAAAGTAAAAAGAAGGAAAAATAGTAAATAATTAATACAAATATAGAAGCCAAATTGGAGAGAAATATCCACCACAGTACTATCAACAACCAAGCTAAAAATAATGTAGGTGGTATGGGAATAAGAGGGGGGTACAAAGAAAAGTCTAAGAGCTGTTTAGAGGAATGGGAAGTGACTTTGAAATAATAAAGGGAGAAGGAATATTAAGAGTGAGGAACAAAAAGAACAGGCTAAGAGAGGAATAATTAAAATTTGGGATGTAAGGAAAAAGAAAAAGAAAGGAAAAAAGAAAAGGGCAGGATAAAAGATACATAGTAGAAAGACAAAAAGAAAAAAACATGCTAAGATGGCAAAATTAAAATTTGAGATGAAAAAAAAGAGTAGGAGAGGGGACCTGTAAAATTTGATATTTGAAATACAGAATTAGTGAAACTCTAAAGATAAAATTGAAAAAACAACGTAACAACAACTACCCTACACACAACCAACTAGCAGATTGATAAAGGTGGAGAGAAAATGCATGTATTTTAAGAGCAAGGGAAAATGATGTGAGATGACCCTTGACAATAAAATTGGTTTTGTGTGTCTGGACAGGGGAGAAATAGTAGGAGTGCAGAATGGAAACAAGTAGTAGCATGAGAGAAAACAAAATTTGAAATGAAAATAATGTGAGGAAAGTGGAAGGCAAAATGGGCTAAGAGGAGGAAGGAGCAAAATATGTGAATCAAAATACACTATAGTATGAAATTTAGTGACTTAATACATACAAACTTGCTGGACAAGAAATGAATGTTAAAAAGCCATGCAGGAAAGAAAATATTGCAAATCGTGGAGAAGACGTCAGTGGATTTTGTGTCTGTAGCTTCTTGTATTTACCACCGTTTTTTTTCTGTCTGGATCTGCCTCTGGTTTTGTCAGATGTTGACCCCATCTGACCTTAGGCAGCCTGTTTGATACTTCCAGGGATCTTCTGTCTCTGGCTGTCTCTTTCAGTTGTTAATCTAGTCACTCTGCACTCAGTAGTCAGGTTTAAGCACTGTCTGCCAGAGTAGGATGGCTGCTGCTGTAGGGGTGATGACTCAGCACCAGAAACCCAGCATCTACTCTCTCAGTTCTCTCCCCAAAGCCTCAGTTCTTAGTTTCTCCTTAGGTGTCACCAGCCTGCTCTGCCCCCACCTTTGCCAGAGCCTAGGGTAAGTGGCTAGAAATGAAAATTTGTGTGTTGGCCCTTTAAGCAGCTCTTGTGTCTCCAGCCATCTGTCTCTGCATCCCTGCTGCTTTTTGCTGCTGGCTGTTATCTGTGTACAGAGCTCTTTTGGAGCTCTGGTGCTCTAGACTGGGAAATTGTAGCTTAGGGTTTAGACCCCACTCTTCTCGGGGGGATCCAACTGGCTACTTAATTATCCTTCTGGTACTGCTTCCTGTGGGCGCTCAGCTTACCAGATAGGCTGTTCTGAAGCTGGTTCTTCTGTCTGTACAAACTTATACGGCTATCTCTCACTATCACTCAGTGGTTTGTTCTGGGTGGTTTCTCCACAATTGAGTTGTAATTCCAGATTGGCCCTAGGAGGAGGTCAGTGTGACTTCCATTCACTCTTCTGCCATCTTCTCCCTCTTTAATGACTTATTAAGGCATAAATCTGTTATTTATGATTTTTGTACTTTTCTATTTGTCATATTTTTAATGAAATAGTTTTTAAAAACAACAGCTTATAATTACATATATAAAATTTTAATTTATAAAAGTATGGTTAAAGTAAAGGTTATATACAACTACTCAGGTTTTTTGTAGACAATTTTATATGATTTTCATATGAACAAGGAGAAAGAGATGTAATATGCATGGCAGGATACACAATATTAGTTTAATCCAGGGTAAGAGGAAGGAAAGAGAAGAAGGAAAAGACAAAGGTGTACATAAGAAAAACAACAGTATGCATGATACAAATTTATATGTGTGTGAAAAGATGCTCAATGTCACTAGCTATCAGAGACATGCAAATTAAAACCACAAAGAGATACCACTTTACACTGGTCATAATGACCATCATAAACAAAGCAACAAACAAGTGTTGGAGAGGTTGTGGAGAAGAGGAGACCCTAATCCATTGTTAGTGGGATTGTAGACTGGTATAACCAATGTGGAAAACAGTATGGAATTTCCTCAGAAAACTAAAAATGGATCTGCCTTTTGACCCAGCAATTCCACTGCTAGGATTATATCCTAAGAACCATGAAACACCAATCCAAAAGAACCTATGCACCCCAATGTTCGTAGCAGCACACTTTACAATAGCCAAGTGCTAGAAGCAACCTAGGTGCCCATCAGTAAATGAATGGATCCAAAAACTATGGTACATCCACACAATGGAATTCTATGCAGCAGAGAGAAAGAATGAGCTCCTACCCTTCACAACAAACAGCATGGATAGAACAGGAAAGCATTATGCTGAGTGAAATAAGCCAGGAGGTGAAAGACAAATACCATATGATCTCACCTTTAACAGGAACCCAAATAACAAAACAAACAAGCAAGCAAAATATGACCAAAGACACTGAAATACAGAACAGGCTGATGGGTACCAGAGGGAAGAGGGGAGGGAATTTCAGGGGAAAAGGGGAAGGATTTAGAGGAACAAATATAAAGGACACATGGGCAAAAACTAAGGTGGGGTAGAAATGGGAGAGTGGTGGGGAGCACTCTAGGGGTGGGCTGGGATGGGAGTAAAAGACAGAAAATTGTACTTGAACAATAATTAAAAAATAAATAAAACAAATTTATATGTGTGTATGTATGTATGGGATATATACAGATATATCCCATACTCTAAAAATCTTGAAATTTGGTCATTAATATGTCGTGAGAGTTCTAAGTTTAACTTATCTATACTGCTTGATTTTTTACTATAAAATGTATTGCTTAGATAACTAGAATTTAAAAAGGAATTTTATGAGGAAGAAGAAAGGTGAGAGAATAAAAGAAGAATATGGAATTTTGGACAAAATTTTAGTGTATAAAATAGTGTGTCCTACTGAGAAGACTTTTGAGATCTAGTTTCCCATCTTAATGGTATAGATATACCCAGATGCATATATGCACAGATCCAACTTTTTTTAATTAAAAAAATAACTTAAGTTCATTGCCCAAATGAGTTTCATCTCACCTTAGAGATCAGGGAGGTAGGGCTTGAACACCCAGATCTATATGATTCTAAACTTCATTTTCTTTCCATAAAGCTTCCACTGGAAAGGACATCCCACTCCTCTGATGACATAATTCAGGTTGAATGGAGAGCACAAGAGAAAAACCTGGGACTAGGGCTATTTCTAGATATTTGTATATGATTTTTCAGATATTTTTAAAAAGTGGTTTTGGAAGTGAAAATACTTTCTAGAGAAGCAGTAAATCAAATCACTGATATTTTCCTCCTTCCTTAGGACTCCTTGGAAGAGACTGAAGAAGGCATTGATGACTTAGTGTCCTCCAGGTTTTCTGCAAATACCCACAGCCTAGCAAGTGGCCTGTCACCAGTAAGCAGTTTTCTAGTATGCACTGGAAGTTTCTTCTTTCTCTTGTTGATTTTCCATGCATCTCCAAAGGGAATATGAGTGGGGGATAATGTATGATGGTGACAGTCACCTGTTTGCCCTTTGCCCACAGAGTACTTTTTGGTCTAATTTTGTGCGGACTTTTTCTAATACTCCTGACTGTTTCCCTCTCCTTCCTTGGTCCCCATTCAGGTTTTAAAATCTCTTCAATCCATAATTATCTCAATTCTCTGCTGATACATTTCCCTGCCACCATGCTCTCAACTCCCCAATTGTCATCCACACTGCTGTCAGTTATTCTCCTGAAACACTTACTCAACGGGTTTCTCTCCTACTCCAATACTGTCCATAGCTGCCAACTACCAACAGAATAAATACCTTTTTCCGTTAGTCTTCAAGGCTTTCCCTAAAAGGTAGCCTTCAGGAGCCCCTATGACCTTGTACCTATCTATGTGCCTGTAAGTCTTTTCCTTTGCTTCTCTAATTTCTGTCTGTTGCTCTAATGACCTTTTTCCATTTGACATTTGGGTGATTTCCTTAAAGAATTCTCAAGCAGGATCTGACAGGAAGTGGACCTACCTAAATGTGCCTGATGCTGACTCAGACACTGTAAGTTTTCAGTCTTTTCCTTTACACATTTCATGGTATGGGAAATCTGATTAGGTGGACAATTTTTCCAGCATTCATCTTTTTCTTACTTGTGTTCAGTTAACCAGAGGTTCTCATTTAAAAGGTAAAAAATATAAAAATCTAAGGATTCCCCAAAAAGAACATTTATCAAACATTAGAATATGAGCATCAGTCAAAAGACCGATGGTCCAAAATTATTTATTATTAACAAGATAACTTTAGAATAGATACCTCTTTAAAATAACAGCATTGGCCTAGTTAAGAGCATGAAGTTTGGTGAGTAGTAAAATTACCTCTACTGCCTAAATTTCTCCCAAGATTAAACATTTGTGGTTTCTTAAATTTTCTTCCATCTGTAGGGACCCCCTGCTTACAGAGTATCTTCTTTGAATAGTGGCTACAGAGGGATGTGGTTACAACTCAGTGATACAAGGAGGTAATGTGAGGTATGGTAGGAAAGTCTTCAGACTAAAAATCTGGAGATCTTGCTGTCTGTCTTGGCACTGTTAACAATTCCTGTGAGCCAGAACATTCTCATATATAACATGAGGAAGTTAGGGCTTACTCTTGAAGGCCTTGAAACTCAAAGCATGGTTCATGGACCAGCAACACTGCATTACCTGGAACAGAGACTCTAAAACTTTGTCAGTTCAGGGAGCCCCTAGTATATCAGTGATACTTTCATAGTACTCCTACACCAAAAGTAATACCTTACTAGCCAATTTATTAATTATTTAGGTTAAAACTTTAATAAAAACTGGTATTCTAACAACTTGAAGCCATTTGAAAAACAATACACACAAATTGAGAGAAAAATAATATTTATTCCATTTTTAAATATCCCCTAATATTTGCTAATGGGATGTGTGTATCTATAGGGTACTACATGAATTGTCAAATCTTCTAATATGATTGTACAGCACCACTTTAATTTCTTACTCTACCCTGATTTTTGTGCAACACATGATTTTTCTCATAGCAACTGTCAAAAACTCAGTTTCAGACAGATAAGACTTCATTGAAAAGAATAAAATGTCATTTATGTTGATACTATGAACTACTGTTACTAGTTTGTATGGTGTCTGATAGATATCGCTGTGTTTCCCTTGAAATTTTAAAATATGTATGGTGCCCCTGTAGGTTTGCTGTGGTGCTGTAGGATGCCTAGACACACAGTTCAGAAACTATAGACCTTGTAGTTTGTTAGAGAAGCAAAATCTTGGACCTCACCTGAGATAGAATAGATCTATGTGCTTGTTTTAATAGATCCCCAGGTAACTGATATACAATTAAAGTTTTAAAAGCCTGCTGTTACCATGAAAATTATATTGCTTTATTTTAGATATAGAAAAGACAAATCAGTTCACTCAGTGACTCTCTTTAAGTTACAATTTCCAAATACAGCCTTCCCTCAGTTCCCATGCCATGTGGATAATGGCAGGATGACTATAAGTATAACACCTTTGGTTTGCTCTTGCCCTTGACTTAAGCTTAGAAGAGATACTAGCCATCACTCACACCCTGTTCTTTGAGTAGTATGTACTCTGAGCAATTGGAGTAATGTAATGAATTTTCTTTTATATATACACACACACCACACACACACATACACACAGGATGGAGAAAAAGTATAATTAAATTTGTGAGTATATGAAACACAGAATTTATTCTTGTAATAGATTATTTTCCATGTGAACAACTATAAACCTACTTTTGCCTCACCCTGTATATATGTGAAAAAGTGGAAAGTCAAAGCTGTCTTTGCATTTACCATAGTCCTTTCTTCCCAGTGGTTTATAGACAAGACTTTTGAGACTATTAGGTCACGCATGAAAGCCTTTCAGGTGGTCTTTTGTGACAGTCATGTTGCTAAGATACAGAGTTCGTGCTTCTGGCACTAAAGGCTAATTTTGTTACATTTGATTGAAAATATGCCTTTTGTCATCACTGACTCATCAGAACCTTCATTTATTCTGGCACATTTGAACTTTTTTAAACATTGTATTTATTGGTTGGTGTGTTATTTTATATTTTAGTGTTCTAGTTAGTGGGTTGTTATTTTACAGAGGTTTAGGAAGCTGTGGTCTAACCTTACTTAAGTAGCCACACTGGGGGTGCCCTTGTTAAAGCTGCAGTTATGGCTTTCCAGAGACTAATGGGATGCTCTCTGGAAGTGTCCTAGAGAGAAGTCTGTGGCTCTCGCTAGCACCAAATATAAGATAAGCTTGTATTTATCCTGACAGATGCATTGACCTTGAGCCTCCAAATGAAAAAGGAGAAAGCTACAGGAATTTACAAAGGAGATGGAATTGGAAATGCCTCAATGACTCTGTGTTAATTTAAAAATTGACTAAACAAAAGCTATTCACCAATGCAAAAGGGCAATGCTTCTCTCAGCAATTTTCCTTCCTTCCTAATGGTCTTAGATCTTACTGTTTTTTCCCAGGCTTGCATTTTACACAACACCAGGGAAAAAAAGCAAAATAAATGATCTTTGCTTTCTTCCCTTTCTCTAGACTTCCCTGCTGATTATAAATAACAGGAATTATAATTGAATGAAAGAGGTGGTTTCTGTGAAGAGATCATTAGTGTAATATTGAATGCTTCTTTTTATATTGTTTATTCCAGAGCAGCCTTAACAGCATGATGAGTGTTTACAGTGAAACAGGAGACTATGGCAATGTGAGGGTCAGCGGTGAAATCCTTCTCCATATCAGCTACTGCTACAAAACTGGCGGGCTCTACATTGTTGTCAAGAATTGCAGAAATCTGGCTATAGGAGATGAAAAGAAACAGAGGACAGATGCGTAAGCACATAGCAAATTCCTCAGTGTATTTCAATCACTGAATTATTTTTGTCAGTATGCGTGTTTCTTTTTCAGAAGATTCTTAGCATTCCTCTTGATTCAGAGCCTCCTCTGAAGGTTGATTGTCACTTTCCTCCTATGCCACCCTTCTAAATAGTCTCTGAAGTGCATGTATAATGGTCATGTTGGTGGTTACCCGATTGTTAAGAAGCTATTAGTCCACATGATTTAGTACTGACATATTTGTTGTTTATGCAGAGGCAGCTCTTTGAGATAGAAGGCTGACATGCTGGCATACCTCAGAATGTATCAGTTAATTTTTTATTCTGGGAAACCCTCCTGAGAAAATTACCAAGCTGTTGGCCCAATTGAACAACTCAAAAGGGCAATTTTGAAGCTCGCAGGATTCCTGGGATCAGCTTGAGAGGGCAGGTGTGGACTACAGAACTTTGGAAAGGATCTGGATATAAAAATGTGTGAGGGGTTCAAAATACTACTGCCAGGTTTGATGATTCACTGGGAGGGCCCACAGGACTCTACATGTAATCATAATCAGCAAAGGAAAGAGACATATGTGTCAAAGTTTTGAAGAATCCAGGCTTCAGCTTCCAAAAGTGTTCTCTCCCAGTGGAATCACACAGGATGCACTTAATTCCTCTAGCAACAGGTTGTGACAACACTTGTGCAATATTGTCTGCTAGGGAGGCCCATTTAGAGACTCAACTAGTCACATAGCAAAATTCCAATCTTCCAGAAAGAAAACAAATGTTCAGCATAAGCCATACTGTTTTTACAAATTTTAGTAACAGTGACTAAACTACGTCTGTTCTGGGAATGATGAGAACACTTCTAAAATCCAAGTGCCCAGATGCTAGCCAAGAACCAACTTTGTAAGCAGGCATTTCTAAGGATAGCATTCTCAGGCCAGCTATGTGACCCCTTTTCTATATACAATACTAGATGACCTAGGTTCAGTAAACAACTCAGCAAAGCTGTTTTGAAGTATCTTAGTACAGACAAATGAATATAAATTCTGAGTATAGACTGGACCCTATATTTCCTCAGCTAAATATCAGAGGGCTTTGAGACAAATATAATCATTTAAACTAGCATGGAATAGGGTTAGTTATCTAAAGCCCCAATAGATGTGCTTCAGGAATCTGGTAGAATCTTGTACATCTTCTACATTTCTGAGTTTGTCGTGATGCCCCTGCTCCAGGAGGCTTCTGGCATAGTTTAAGTCAAGGTGTTGGGTAGAATTGCTATTGTGACTTAAATTGTTATTTTCTATTTCCCGCTTTTCAATATTTTCTTCATTCATCCATTACCGTTGACTCCACTCATCAGAAGTCCTGACATTTGAATAGAGAGGAATATAACCCCATAATATTTAGCAACTCTAATGATTATAATAATATATTATATTTCATCTTGAGGTATATAATATGTCAGCTCTTTGTATGTGTCAATTGACTTAATCCTGACAATGCCATAAGTTAGGTACTGTTAATGTTCCAGTTTTTACAGATGAAGAAACTGAAACACAGAGAGCATAAGTAAGTTCTTGAATTCACCAAAACTAATAAAACAGGGAGTGATTCAAACCCAGCTGGCACGACTCCAGAGCCCATACTCCCTTACCACCATTCTTTCTTGTTTCTCTCTTATTTGAATCCCAGAGTTGTTTTTAGGGTATTCTGTTATGTAGACTTTATTCTTTTATTTATTTATTTATTTATTTGTTTGTTTGTTTATTTATTTATCTTTAGAGGGGAAGGGAAGGAGAGAGGCAGAGAAACATCAATGTATGGTTGCCTTTTGTGCGTCCCCTGCTGGGAACTGGCCTGCAGGGAACTGGTCTGCAACCCAGGCATGTGCCCGGACTGGGAATGGAACTGCGATTGTCTGGTTCGCAGGCCCGCGCTCAATCCACTGAGCTACACCAGCCAGGGCGACTTTATTCTTTTTTGTTCTGTCTCTTACGTTTATAGGCCTATTCCCTTTACCCCTTTTATTCACTATATTTCCTGACTATTTCTTGCATAGTAGAAGTTCCCCAATAACTACTTTCATCTTTTATCATCTAGTTATGTCAAGTCATACCTCCTTCCTGACAAGTCTAGAAACAATAAGCGCAAGACCAAAATCAGAACAGGCACCAATCCAGAATTCAATGAAACACTAAAGGTAAATAAATAGTCTGTCATAGTAACACAAATGATACTGTTTACAGCCTCATTGGTTTAGAAATAACTACAGAAAATGTGCATATAAGGGCTTAGTATATTCTAGAAAAGTACAGTTTGAATAAATTAATGTAATACTCTTGGCTTTCTTAACAATTTTTGGAAAAGAAAAATGAAAATCATTCTTACTCTGTTTATTTCTCTGCTTCTACTAAAGTTGTACCTTGAGTAGAGATGATCCAGAAAAATTGCATCTGAGCTGGCACATCTTGTCCCAAAAATATATTTTGCCTTTAGCAAAACTGATTTTTCTAGTTCCCATAAAAGGAAGTTTGTCACTTTTGCTACTGATTTAGCTAGTCATTTTGTACACACCCATTGTTCTGCTAATATTGCATGAATATGTGCTGTCTCTTATTAGGGTTACAGACTAAATTTAGGCTTGTGGTTAATGAACAAGGAAGATGCAGAGTTAGGTTTGATAAATATCAGAGAATGTAGCCTAGATAAAATATAACCCATGCCTCAGTCCTAGAGAAATTCCTTTTCCCCATGGGCTTCCAGGTAACAATACCTTCTCTCACTCTGAAACAATCTAGCTTGGTATGAAAGATCTGGGGAGATTGGAATGTACACATTATTGCCAGTCACAGGGAAATTTATGCATCTTCTGCCCAGAGTGATGGATTCAAAGTCCACCATAGCAGAAATTTGGTGAGTGGGGGCATGTGTTAGTGGGGTCATGTGTGAAAGCAGGAGCCAATATGAAGACAGATCAAAATGAGAAGAAATAGTATAGGCTTGGGGTGAATCCAGTGGTCATAATAGCAGAGCAGAGCCGAGTCCATGCAGAATGGATGAACAGAGTACCATGGCAAACTCAGGAAGCAGAGAGCCAAATTTAATCATCTCAGGAACAAGTATAAATGCAAATTCAAGTTCAGGAATCAGTCATTCTAAAGCTTGTTCTAGGTTGTAGTTGCATAAAACAAACAGAAGGTTGGAGGACATGTGGGCATATGGCCCTGGATAACATTTTGCTGGAAAAGGAAAAGCTACCAGAACAATATTTTCATTATGTTATCTCCATATTTATATTATTCATATTTATATTTTTATCCCTGCACTTAGCCTAGACTTTATGAGGTTTGGTGTTTGGAAGTATCTCAATGTCAATACATTTTTTTTGGATTTGGGAGTTCTCATTATGAATAAAATAAAACAGAGAATTTGAAGAATTGATATATTAAACCTCAAGCTTACAAAGTAGAAGTTGAAAAAAACATTAGGTAAACAAAAACCAAGTAAAACTGAAAGGGGGACAAGCTTCATCCCCTAATACTTTGTATGCAATATCTGAAGTTTATTGACTCCCCCCTGAATATTTTGTTGATATATCTTTCAGTGCTAGGTTTAACACAAAATGAGTTTACCTCAATTGTAGCAGAAACAAAGGAAACTAAAGTTTTTCTGTGTTTGGGTTGTGCTTATTACTAATGCATCTGATCTGAAAAATGGTGGGAGTAAATTTTTAACCTGTGCTAAAATTGGGCAGAGACTTCCGTGTGTAATGTGATGTTGTTAATCTCACTTGCAGTACACCATCAGCCATAGCCAACTGGAAACAAGAACTCTGCAGCTCTCGGTCTGGCATTATGATCGATTTGGACATAACAGTTTCCTTGGGGAAGTGGAGATTCCTTTTGACTCATGGAACTTTGAAAATCCAAGTGATGAGTGGTTTGTGCTACAGCCCAAGGTAGGAAATTCTTCCAGATTAGTCAACCAGTTATGCAATGAGTCAAGCTCTAAGTCCAATTGATGTCATTGACCTAAAGAATCTGATGACTTCCAATTTTCACAGGATACTCTGAAAGAACAGTACAGGTAATTTTGGAATAATATAATAAATGTAAATGTATTCTTTTGGAAATCTTTCTTCAATAGAGACTGACTGTATAACACAAACTACATAATATATATTCTTAATATGATTCGTTAAAATGTATTAATCATTTGGAGGTCTCTATGGATAAACAAAATGAATACATGATATGATCCCATTAGAAAGAGAAAGAAAGCATTTTCACATGGGCAAAAACAAATCCATAGAGCAAGATCAGTCTCAAACATTCTCTCTGTCCCTCATTCTCTACAACTCATATATAAGCAGGAGTGGTCTTGCCTTGGCTCACATCAGGAAGTAACCAGTAGCTAGCTAATGTATCTGGTTTCCTACTTTTCTAATTTGGAGATTCACAATCTCAAGGCTGGTCCTAGAAATTAACAATATAAACCAGAGTGACAGTACCTTGGATTCACTCAGTACAGCAGGAGTCTTTCTACATGTACAATGATAAGTTAAGAATGAGGAGGAAAGATCAAATTTATATAACCAAACATTTTTCTTTGTATAGAGAGGCAAAAAACACCACATGATGGTGAAGAGAATGGCTTCAAACTTCCTGGGTTCAATCGTGGCAGAGCTTCACAACTGTCTGTTTGACCTTGGGCAAATTCCTTAACATCCCAGACTTTGGCATTCTCATTTCCAATAGAATAATTAGTCATAGCTTAAATGGGTGCTATGAAGCTTGAATCAACATTGTATGTGGTGCTCACAGGATTGTGTCAGGCACAATGTAAGCTCTCAATAAATACTAAGTAATATTATGTTACGTTGCAGTCCTTTTATTGCAATTGACAGAAACCTCAGTTCATACTGCTCAAAAAGTACCAAGCATTGCTCAATCCAGATGCTCAACTCTTATCAAGGCACTGGAATCTCTTGGTCTCTCTTCTCTGTGTTGGCTTCATTTTCAGACTATATGCAGTGTTTGCCTCTCTCATTAGCTCCATGTATGCTTTTTTAATCTTTAAAACAGCTTCAAGCCTCCCATCCTTGCACTCCACTGTCCAGGAGAAGAGAGAATTCCTCCCCTTGAAATAGTACAACCAATATCCTGAGCCTGATTCTTCTAATCCTAATTATATTATTTGCCCATCCTGAGCTGACACTGTGACTAAGGAAGTGAACTACATTGATTGGCTTAAGACAATCAGAACATGCCCTGGTCCTAAGGGTGGTATTGCCCCAAAGGAAATCCAGGCACAGTAATACTAAATTAAGGGTTAGTGAATGCAAGACAGGAAAAAAAAAGTTGAGCATCAACAACAACAATTGTTGATCATCATCAACAGCAAGATTGTTCACATCTAGTGGTTACAACAGCCATTGTGAGCTAAGTTATAATTATCCTCATTTTATATGAATCTGAGACTTGAAACTAAATACAATTTTCTAGTGTGATTTTATAAGTGTTGATCTCAAATGTGGTGTAAATAACTAATGGAAAAATCTTTAGGAGGTATACTGGAGCTGAGGATAAAAATGACAAAAATATAATAAAATATTTAAAATAAAATAACTGCAAGCCCATGACTAACATAAATGTGATAGAAATACAAAGTCCAATAATAAAAACAAATAATTCCATGATAGCATAACACTCTTGTGACATTAATTATGGGAAATGTTTGGTCATTCCAGTATTACATCTCTTGCAATTGAATGAAAAGCCTCATAATAAAGGATAACACATAATGTGACTTAATTTCCTATCACTTCATCCTTGTGTGTATGGGTGAGCATCATGGAATCATAGTAGAAAATGTCTAAGACATGATGCATGACACAGATGAAGGATGAGTAACATGCCTTTTAGTACATGTAATTAATTTCTCTGTCATAAATTCAACATTAATGCATATTGGAGCTCTTTGGAAACTAGCTTAGAGTGTTTCCAGTCAATTTCCTGGAAATGGTTGCAGTGGGATATCTAAGCTCTCCCAGGCCTCTGTACTCAAGGACCAACAACTTTTCCCCATAATCACCTTCATATTGCCATTGAGTGGTTTCACTTTCTATTATCATAAGAAAGTATCATCTTATGATAAGCCTGCTCAAGGTAGAAAAGTTCTGATTGTGTTTAATGTCTGTGAGATGTAGTTGGTTCTCTGCCTAATGACCATAGATTCCTTTCACCAAGTCTGTTGGGAGTTTTGCTTCCAATAGCCTCCACCTGAGACTTATTTGAGGGCTGTCCCCAGGCTACCATAGCTTTTTTCCACATGGGCAGAGAGCCAACACCTGACAGGTGAGGTGAGGGAAAGGGTCTGAAAGCTCATTTCCCTTACTGAGTGTGGAAAAAACTCTGAGGCATTACTTATACTCCAAAGCTTTCCCTCTGTATCAGTCTGGGCCCTTGCCTGGCCCCCTCCCCTTTCCCTACCTGTTTTTACCACCCCTTTGCTGATCTATCTTTGGAGGACTTTTTTAGTCACTTGCATATAAGAATCCCCACCTAAGAGTTCACTTCTGGGGAAACCAAAATTAAGTTAGTGTCTCTAATCCATGTCATCTTTCTCTGCCAAGCTTTCTCTGACACATATAGAGGAAAGGATGCAGGTTTGGACTTGCTTAGCTACCATGCCTTTTAAAAATGAAGGGTGATGGAAATCCATGCAAAAATGTGCTCTGTATGTTGCCTCCCACTTCACTGGTGGCTCATTTTCAGGCTGAGCTGGGTTCCATGTGGTGGTTGATTATCAGAAGTGTCACTTCATTCCTAGTCATTTTGATGCAGTAGTCACTTCAGCTGCAGCTATAATATGAGCAACCCCAGAGACTTGATGTTTGTTGTAGATTTTCCAGCTGAGGAGGTGAATTGTCAGCTACAGGAACCAATTTCCTTAGTAATAGAGTATCAAAATTATTAAAATTAATAGTCCCCAAGCTTTTGGAAATAGAAATATGTTTTCACAGTGGCAATACTGGAAAGACATAGTCCCTTCTTATTGACTCTGTGTTAGTGGAATTCCCTTGACACTTACCTTTCCTTTGTTTTAGTTAAGTCTTACAGTGCTAAGCCGGTCAGGAGGTTGACACAGACCCAGATAGAACTCAAGATGCTGAATATACTGTAAAATAGTCTGATGGTGTAATTTCATGCATGACACGGACTTGCTTAGAAGTTATAACTTATTATTCTTCTGAAAGGCGTATCAGGTAGTCAGATAACAAGGGTTTGTTAGTACAAATTGCCATTAGTGCATTCCCAGAAGGTGCTATTATAGGTTCAAGGACCTTTGAAAATCAACAGAAAGCTTGTGATTTTCCAAGGAAAATTTCTCTGTTCTGCCTTCAGATAGAAAATAAATGTAAGTTCCTGTGGAATTATTACCTACCTACCTAAAAGGTTGTGTCTCTATTGAGCAGTTTTGGCAGACATTTGTTTATAATTTATCATCCCATCTTAGACCTGTAAATGCACTGCGAATTCTGTTTCTACACTGATGGAAATTGGCTCTCTCTTAAAAAACAGAAGATCATGGGCATTATCTGATTAGGTCAAACCCCTGCTCAGAAACCCAGCTGCTTTTAATGTGGTTTGAATAAATCCTAAACCCCACCCTGGCACTCAGTGCTCCCTTGGTATGACCTGGCCTTCTGTAGCAAAGGAGGATGTTGGTGCTCTTCCCGTACCCCCATTTTCATGCATACATGGCTGCCCATGACTTTCACTCCCACCTGCCAACACCTGTCAATATTTATAGGAGAGGAGTCCTCAGGATACTGGAGTGGCTTTGATCTGTGGGCATGAAAAACCTTGGTATTTAAGTCTCCTGGGGGTTGAGGGTAGAAGGAACATAAACACTGTTACTATCTTGCCTTTGATGTGATCTGTGAGAGTATGATCTGTCTTGTTTTCATATCTGCCCTGTAGGGCTGAGCAAAAGTTACACTTCATGAAACTTTGCCTGATACCACATCTTTGTGAACCTCTCTTCCCTTTCTGATCCCAATACCCCATTACCCCTCCTAATAAAACACTATAACATAAGTTCATGTCTTAGTGTTTTCTGGAGAAAGATGCCTTGTTTCCATCTTCCTTGCTACCACCTTCCTGTACACACATCTCTAACCACATTTCACTTTCTACTACTTCTTTTTTTTTCTATTTCTCCCTCTTTTTTTAGATTTTATTTATTTATTTATCTTTAGAGGGGAAGGAGAGAGGGAGAGAAACATCAATGTATGGTTGCCTTTCATGCATTCCCTGCTGGGAACTGGCCTGCAAGGAACCAGACTGCAACCCAGGAATATGCCCTGACTGGGAATCGAACCACTATCCTCTGGTTCGCAGGCCTGTGCTCAATCCACTGAGCTACACCAGCCATTGCTCTACTATTTCTTATACACTTTCTACACAGTCCCCACTGTATTTTGCTCATACTGCTTTCTTGAACCAAACTAACCTTCTTCCCACTCCACATTCATCTAGCTTCATCTCTCTTATTCTTTAAGAACCAAACAAAGGCTACCTCTTTATCCCAATATGGATTACTCTCTTTCTTCTCACAGTAGTTTCTTTGTACTTAATTGAAGCAACTTTCATTGTTTGTGTGACATTGAGTTTGCTGTGTAGTAGAAGCCCAAGAGAATCAGGATTGATTAATAAAGAAAGTCATAAATCATATACATACACACACATACCCAATGTATTTCTTAAATATTTATTTTAACTTAAATAAATATGCATTCATTTTCAATTTTTCTAATACAGGGACAATTAATTTTATATAAGTATGGTTTCAGTAATTAAAACTCTGTCATATATTCTTGGCATAAATTCTACCCCTGATGCATCATCAGAAATAGTTTCTAGTTTGAATTTCTCCACAGGGAAACAAGAATGT